TCGTGTGAACACACGGGAAAAAAATCAGCAATGGGACGGGATTAGATGAGGATTCTTTCTGCTTTAGGCCCCGTGTGATAACGTCCTGTGTGTGTGTAAGTGCTTCATGTGAATGTTGACATCCCAGTTGTTGTTCAAATAATAACATTTAGATGTACTTAGTACTCTGGAGTTCTAGTTTTTCAGAACTGGTAAACATAGGCTGAAAAATCCCAGGGTAATGTTACCCTGGCCCTCTCACTGCTACCTATTGAGCTAAATTAATTTCCTCATTGAATTCAATTTGTGGGTGCCCTCTTGGGCCCCTTGCAATTTAGGTAACAGATTCAATGGTTACAGCATCACCCTGGCATCACCTTTCTTGACACTGTAATGTATATTGAACATTTCCAATCTGTGGACTATTGTTTTGTTTTCCAAATATGTTGACAATTTTTTTTTTTTGTTAGAAATGGAATGGATTCTGTCTCTAGAGCTTAAAACAGTGCTATTGGTATGGTATCTGTTTTTGGTGATTTATTTTCACCAAGTGCTCTGACAGCCTTTCTACATTACTTTCTAAAATTGTGGCTTCATCTTCATATGACTACTCCTTGAAGGAATCTATCATTATCCAATCTCTTTTATACAGATCCTCAGAATTTTGCATCCGTCATTTAAGAGAGGCCATTAACAAAACAGCAGTTGGCAATTCTCTTGCTCTCTTCCCCTCTCCCAAAAGGGCAGTCTGGATAGTCTGGAGGGGCCAAGGGCCACAAAAATAGCCATGGGGCCACATGCAACCCAGGCCCCATTTGCTCTTGATAGATTCTTGTTCAGTTGTTTTTGTTGAAATCTGTCTTTGATTTCATGGCCACATCCTCAAAGAGAGATCTGATAGGGATGGGTTGGGATCACACAGAATCTCTTTACATCACCAGAACTTTATTTACATATCTGGAACTGCTCATCTATTCTGTAACAACTCCAGATAAGCCAATGGAATCCTGCACACACACACACAGCTGATACCATGCTGTATCATATCTAAAGCACCTTCATTGTGATGGCATGCCCACAACAGTAAAAGAACTTTATGTCAGGGCAAGGGCTGGTATATGTCAATAAAAAAATTGGTTTTAAAAAAGAATTACAGTAAGAAAAAAAAACCCAATATAATACTGTATACAATAAATGCTCTACTAATTGTAAAAAAAGTATAAAAGACTTCCTTAAAGTTGACACTTGAACAAAGAACGAGTCTTGTAGTTGTATAATCTATCTCGTATTAAATTCCTAAGATACAAATAATAACAAAATTCAGTGTGTAATTGACTCTATTTCCAGCTTAGCTCTCTCTCTCTCTCTGGCTTTTCTTTGCAAACGAAGATTCAGGAAGGACTCATCCCACGCTTTTTGCAAGCGCGCTGATGACTAAAAAGGCCAATCCGAGATAAACAAGCCCGGTTGCAGAAAGCACAGCAGAGGATCTCCTTGGGTGATGTTTCGGGGTTGTGATTCTTTCTGCGTTGTCGTTTCTCTTCGAGACTTGTTCGGCGCGACTTCTCAAATAAGGCTGCAGCATTGTGGATAGTGTGTCTCCATGGCTCCCGATGTGAGGCCAAGGTGGACCATTGTTGGTGATCAGTTTGGCTGTAATTCTCTTTGTAGATCTCCCCCCCCCCCCCCCCCGAGCCTTAGCTTATGGAATTATTTATCTCCACATGTATTGATCTTTTATAAATTTCAATATTTTTTCTTTTGTTCTTCTCTTTTTGGTTTGGTTAATCGTAAACAGGACGAAGAGAGCATGATATAATCAAATTAAGGGTAGAGAAAAGTCAGTAAAAATTTTGAGTTAAAAAAGATCTTGTAAATGCTATTTTGGATTTATCTTATCCATATTTGTGTGCTTAGCTTCTTAGATGTTAATAAACGAATCTTCTTTGATACAGATTTCTTGCAAGATTTTTTGTGTTAAATTTGACCTTTATCAAAATGTATAATTTCTTCAAATGGTTGCCATTCTTTTTCCACTACGTTCGTTGGTTTATTATTAGTCAGATGAGTTAATTCGTCCATATCCATAATTTCATTGATTTCACGTATCCAATCCTTTATTTTCGGGGGTTCTTCCATCTTCCATCCTCTGGCAATAATCAGTCTTGCTGCTGTTATTAAGTATATTAAAATTCTCCATTTTTTAAAATCATCTTTGTTGATCATTGATGTGATGTTAAGTAAGTAAAGCTCAGGCACAAAAGGAATTTGGATATTTAATCTTTTTTGTATTTTTGTATGGATTTGAGACCAGAATTTTTTTAACTTGGGGACAATTCCATCACATATGATATAGTGATCCAGCTTCTTTGTGGCATTTCCAGCATCTATCACTCATGGTTTTGTAAATTTTCTTTCATCTTGTTGGAGTGAAATACCATCTATTAGATATTTTTAGAAAGTTTTCTTTTAAGTCTTGCGAAGCCGTAAATGAATTCTTCTTTTTCCAGGTGTCTTCCCATTTCTCTAGAGATATAGGATGTCCTATATCTCTCGCCCAAGTGACCATCGTATTTTTTATTCTCTTTCCAAGAGTAAGAAGTAGAGTTTGAAAATCTTTCCATTTTCTGGTGCTCAATAGAGTTTATCTATTTCATTTAGAGTGGATTGGAAGCCTAATGAGGTTATATCTATTTTGAATCTTTTTTTGAATCTTGGAGGTAGTTGAGCCAGTCTATTCTTATGTTGAGATTTTCCAAATCTTCTCTTGTATGAAGACTATATATTCCTTGTTCATCTTTTTTTTTTTTTTAGTAATCCTTATATTTTAACCATCCTTTCCCCCTCCATCTACCAAAAAGCCTTCCTCAGTAGAAATCCAAAGAGTAATTCTGTTGTAAAACTTAATCTTAATTTGGGTCCAAATTTTTAAAAGTGATTTTCTAATGAGATGATTATTGAAGTCTTTATTAAATTGCAATTTATTATACTAAGCATACACGTGCCATCCGAATCTATTATGTACACTTTCTAAATCAAGTCGTTTTTCCATAGCCTTGACTCATCTTGATAGCCAAACTGCAGAGGGGTGGGATATAAATAAAAATTATTATTATTATTAAGGTGACAATCTGTTGTCAATCTTGTTGGTTTCTTAATGTTCAACTGTAAACCTTCCTTTGCACTTTAACTGCCCTGGCTGAACGCTAGGGAATTTTGGGAACTATAGTTTTGTGAGACATTCAGCCCTGTCTGTCTGAGAGCTGTGGTGCCACAATAAACTACAATTCCCAGGATTCCCTAGCACTTAGCCAAGGCAGTTAAAGCGGTCTCAAACTGGATTATTTCTGCAGTGTGTTTTGGACCATAGAGTAGTCGAAGGAGAAGAGGAACCGTTGCCGGGGCAACGGGAAAGCCGCTCTTCTTCTCTCTCCCTCTCTTTCCCCAACTGTCCCAAGAGGAGCTGTACGTCTACGTCACGCTGCCATGGTAACAAGCTCGAACGCCCGAACCAATGGCCGAGGCGGATTTCTCTCCGGGCCTCTCTAGCTTCGAGAACACCTTCTCTCTATGGTGAGTCGAGTCGGTTGCCGTTTTACTCTCTCCTTGATGACGAGGACGGAAGCGAAAGGAGGAAAAACAACGTCACGTGACTAAAGGAGCCCGGAAGCGGAAGTGGCGCGAGAGTGCGACAGGAGGAGGAGGAGAGAGCTGAAGACGGAGAAGCGGAGACACAAACCCTTCCCCCTGGAAGAAACCCAAGGCCGGGATGGTAAGTGACAAGCGGGAGGAGGGAAATGGCGACCCTCCCCAGGGAGAGCCCTTCTGGCCCGCCTTCCCCGGCTGAGGAGGAGGAGCCGCTCCTTCGTCCATTCCCCGAAAGGGACGCGGACACTGGACACTGCCAGGTCCAGAAGGCGAAGGGGCTGCTTTCCTTCTCTCAAGGCCCGTTACACTGGCTCCTTCTTGCTCCTGAGGCTCGTATTGTGAGGCTTGCATAGCGCTGTGTGGTGTAGTGGTTTGACTGTTGGACTGCGCCTCTGGTGACCAGGGTTCGAATCCCAGCTCGGCCATGGAAACCCACTGGGTGACCTTGGGCGAGTCATACTCTCTCAGCCACAGAGGAAGGCCATGGCAACCCCCCTTTGAAGAAACTCCATGATACGCCTTTTTGTTTTGTTTGTTAACTGCCTTCACGTCGATCTCGACCCATGGAAACCCTATGGATGAGACATCTCCAGGCCCTCCTGTCTTCTACTGCTCTGCCCAGCTCCTGCAAACTCATATTCCTGGTCTCTTTAATAAAGTCCATCTATCTAGCATGTGGCCTTCCTCTCGTTCTACACCTTTCCTAACGTTATTGTCTTTTCCAACTATTCATGCCTTCTCATGATGTGTCCAAAGTATGACATTCTAAGTCTTGTCATCTTGGCTTCTAGGGATATCTCTGGCTTGATCTGTTCTAGAATCCATTTGTTTGTCCTTTTGGCTGTCCATGGGATCCTCAGCACTCTTTGCTTTAGGATCCCCATAAGTGAAAAATAACTTGGAGGCACACAACAACAACTAGGTGAAACTGTCAGGTTTTTTTTTCTTGGTTAAATGTGTTGTGGGGGTTGCCTTTGTCTTCCTCTGAGGCTGAGAGAATGTGACTTGTCCAAAAGCATACAGTGGGTTTCCATGGCCATTGGGGATTCAAACCCTGGTCTCCAGAGTCATAGTCTAGTGCTCAAACTAGTATATCACATTGGCTCTCAAAAAGTAACTTCTTCTTGTTATTGTGCACCTTCAAGTTGTTTCTGGCTTATGGCGACCCTGAGGTGAACCCTGTCACAGGGTTTTCTTGAAAAGATTTGTTCAGAGGGGCTTTGCCTTCCTCTGATACTGAGAGCATGTGACTTGTCCAAGGTCAACCAGTGGGTTTCATGGCCAAGTTGGGAATTGAACCTTGGTCTCCAGAGTTGTAGTCCCAACACTCAAACCACTACACCACACTGGCTCTCTTTAGAATCGCAGGAACTCCTTAAAGAAAAGGACCCTAGAGATGTATGAAAAGCAGTTTCTGTCCTTGTGCTGTCTTTCCTTCTTGCAGCCTTCCTAAATTGGTCTTGCCTAGTACAAGTTTTGATGTCAGTGTTGCCAGATAAGTTGTGCTGTGTGCCCATCCCATGGCTTTCTGTGAAGAGTCCCTGCTCTTCCAGTTCAAAGCTTTCCCCCCATAAACAGTCCCAGAGGCCACTGGAATAAAACACGGTTCATCTGATGAAGGAGGAAGCCAGTTTAGCTGCTTAAGGATGGTGGTTCAAGAGCCTAGGAACAGTTGTGAAGAAGACCCTCTCCTGTGTTCCACTAGATATGCCTGTAAGAGTGGGGGAAAAGACAGCAGAGTTTCCCATGAAGATCTCAAAACCCAGCCAAGATCTTTCATATAACCTGGTCTTGAACCATATAGGTCTTTCCAAGTCTTAATTAGTACTTTGAAACAGACCAGTAGTCAGTAGAGCTGTTGTAACCTGGATGTTGTGTGATCTGTGTAACCCCCAACCCCCACCCCAATCAGCAGTCTGGCTTTTTGGACCAGCTAAAATTTCTTAGTGCTTTTGCATGCATGCCTTTTGCTTTTCAAAGGCATACATATATACAGCACATTACAGAGGTCAAAACAGGGTGTAAGTAAGGCATGTGTCACTGTGGCCAGATCAAACATGATCAGCAATGTGTACAGCTGGAGCTCAGGCTATAACTGTGGAAATGCCTTCTGGGTCACCGTAGAAACTTGAACTTCCAGGGCTGAATCTAGGAATGCACCAAATCTGTAAACCTGTGTGACTTCAGCACAAGCTGAATCATTATTCCTTGATATGCTTTTTGGCTGACCAGGAACACCTGTGTTATCAGTTTAATCACTTTCTTCTAAACCGTTACCAATGACAACTACCAGTTTGGAATTGAAATAACTTCCTTTGTGTTAGATGGATAGGTGAAATCAAGTTGAGTGTCATCAACATTTTTGTACTCTGGTATTCTGTCTGAATACCATTAATTCTGTTTAGGGGAGTATTCAGCCTGCTGGAATTGGCAAACTGAATAATATGTACTCTTTATTTCAAATGCAGTTGCAGTGAGGAACAAATGGAAGAATTCACATACTGTAAAATAGTACTAAAGAGGCTTGCTCTTATCCAAAGTCAAAAGAGAGGGGAAAGTAAAAATAGTATCTTTCCATGTGAAGGGATAACAGTCTACAAGTTGAAAAATTCTTTACCCGAGGGCTGCTGCTTACCCTCATATTTTAAGACTGACAGCTCCCTATAAGAAATTTGACTGATTTATATCTTAGCATATGCAGTGGCTTGAATGGTTAAGACACTGACTCTGTTGGTTGCAAGATCAGCACGTTGGCAGTTTGAGGCCCGGGTGCTGCATGATAGGGCGAGCTCCTGTCACTAGTCCCAGCTTCTGCCAACATAGCAGTCCGAACTCATTCAAATGAAAGTAGATAAATAGATACCACTTCGCTGGGCAGGTAAACAGCGTTCTGTGCAGTCATGCTGGCCACATGATCACAGAGTAGTCTCTGACAATGCTGGTTCTTAGTTTAGTAATGGAGATGAGCACTGCCCCCTATGGTCGGACATGATTTGACAACCTTGTCAATGGGGAGTACCTTTATATTTTAGGAAGGATTAGATGTAACTATTGAGAGCTTGGTGTTGCATTAGAAAAGGCTGGGTTCCCCCATGAAACTTTACAGTAACTAGATGTAGGTTTCTGACTTTGAACAAGAGCTTATTTAAACATGGGGTTGTTTGTGTGGTAAAGTCCTTTCATAGGGTTTTATCATCTCAGAATGTAGATAAGCCTATTGGTTTAAACATATGGCCTTAGGTTGAAAAGTCCTTCATATAGAAAGCTTGAAGCCTTTCCCTGATCAGTAGGTGCTTCATGTAGAGGTACTTAGAAGTAATACCCCCACTGTGGGCATTCAGAGGTCATACCTTAAGAGGCATTTATGACATTGCATGATTTGGAGGGGACTTCCTGAGTAAGTTAAGATGATTTCAATCTAGCATGATATATTTTTTTAAATATTTAGAATCTTTATGGTCCACAAATGTACATTATTTCCAAAACAGAAATTATTTTTTAAAAAAATATATGTTCATAGTGATCCTGAGTGCGCACTGTTACTGTGCGTTACAGGAGCAAGCCAAGTTAATTTTGAATTGGCAAGAACCCCAGAAATTTGCCAGAGGTCTTTACTCTTCTTCCACTTTTCCTCTGGACTTCACTGCCCCACCTATGAAGAAATTAAGCTGTTCTCTGACTGTAGATTTTGGTATTATAGATGTCTGTGTGTACTTTTAAAAAAAGAATGTTGTTTCTTCCCTTTATCACAGTCCGAAGGAGCAACCACCTAACCAGGTCATTTTTCTCCAGGTATTTTCATAACAGCCTCTCTGTTATTCCCTCTTCAGGTCACAAGACCATTGGTACCAGTAGGAGCCCAGTCCTGGCACTGGATGTTTTGGCACTTGGCCCCACCTGGGCGATCATGAACGGGAGCACAGTGCCCCTGTCACCAGTAGGGGGAGGGATGGTAGGTGAGCCTGCCTCTCTCCCCTCACCAGGTTGGCGGGAATTCTGTGAGGCGCATGCCCGTGCTGCCGCTGTAGACTTTGCCCGTCGATTCCGGGCCTTCTTGGGTGAGAACCCTCAGTTTGCAACGCCAGGAGCCGAAGCCGCCTTCTCACGCCGCTTTGCCGAGCACTTCCTGGAACATTTTGAGGCAGAAGTGAGCCGGGCTTATGCCAGTGACTCACCACCTCGTTGTGACATCGCCCCCTTCACTGGCTGTTCCTCAGCTCGTGATCTTTCTGAGACCTGCAGTGATTCATCGGTGGCCTCTCCTGTTGAGCCTCCCCTGGGACCACCTTCTGGCCTCTCCAGCAGCCAGTCCCGCAGCTCTGAGGATGTTTCTACTGTGGCGGCAGTGACTGCGACCAAACCAAAGTTGAAGAAGCGCTTTTCCTTGCGCAACGTGAGCCGCAGTGTCCGAGGGAGTGTCCGTGGAATCCTGCAGTGGAAGACATCAGCTGACTCATCCCCTGGGGGTGGAGACGGGGCAGTCACAGGAACCAACAGTAATTCCAACTCTTCAGGGGGTGGTGACTCTGAGCGCTGGACTCACCGTTTTGAGCGGCTGCGGCTCAATAAAGCCTCTCCAGCTACTCTCCGAGTGGAACTGGCCAGCGTGCGGCGTGAGGGCTTACTGAACTACATTGTGGCTGATGATGGATCAGGCGGGGGTAGTCGGACACGCTGGCAGAAGTGCCGTCTTCTCCTGCGTAAAGCAGGGAAAGGGGAGGGGGAGGGGTACCTGTTGGAGTTCTACATCCCACCAAAGGTGAGCACTGGATGCACTGGGGGAGGGCAGGGCAGAAAAATGGGCATAAACAGTGGGAGGTGGTGAGGGGAGCCAAACGCTTGTTGTTCCTGGGACTCCTATTTTGGGAGTGGGAGGTATCACAATTCTTTCTGTCTCTCTCCCCCAACCTTTTTAACCTCTAGGCATCAAAGCCACGGGTCAGCATTGCCTGCTCCTGTGTAGTGGATGTGCGGACAACAACCCCCCTGGAAATGCCAGACAAGGAGAACACATTCGTGCTCAAGGTCAGAGAAAAAGATTGAAATTGGTATAGGCAGAGCAATAGTATCTGGGCTTCACAGAAGGCTGTTAAAAATCAGTATATTTCAAGCAAAACCCATGCATCTTAAACCATGTGAAGGCAACCATGCTCTTCAGATGTTTTTGGCAACAACTTTGTTGCTAGCAGGGGCTTATGAGACTTATGAGACATTCTGGCCATTGGCATGCTTATTTGAGTACAGTACTGATGGAGGGTACTATGTTGCCAACCTTGGTTGTAAACCTACTCGGTATTATTTTGAACAATGGTAATTGTACACCAAATAACTTCAGTGATTGAACTAATTCACACATTAACTGCTCAGCAAAGAAGTCTGTGGAACTGAATCCCTTCCTCTGCCTGTACTGATTTCCCAGGGATAG